GATATACTGAAATCGTCAAGACAACAAATATATATATATATATATATATATATATATATATATATACAGCAATTGCAGCTGGGAGAAAAGTTAAAAAAAAATGAAAAAAGAGAGAAGTTGGTGGCTAACTTGGATTCTTTTACCCACAAAAATTCACACATACATAGACGGCAATTGGGAAGAAAAAAAAAGGGGAATTGAATTGAAAATGGAGTCGGTTTCCTTGTTGCACTCAAAAAGGCAGCTTGAGGTTATATATATATACAAAAGGGCTGTGTTGGCTGGGGAGAGATATATATATACACATACACACACACATCACACGGCAGCTGGAAAAAAGGAGGGGAAGGAGATACGCATACAATAGAGGCTGCACTAATAATATATACACACTGAAATAGTGGCAGAAGGGAACACACGAAAAAAGGGCTGCTGGAATTTAATCACACACATACAATTGCGTGGCCTGCTGCTAAATTAATACACAATTGCCGGCGGCTGCTGGGCTTTATTATTATATATAGACAAAAAGGCAGTCGGGAGGAAGTCATATACATAGAAAAGACTCAGCTTTTGGGAGAGAAGAATTGAATTCTTTTTTAGAAGAAGCCGGCTGGAGTTGATGTATATACACTCGTAGAAGCTGAGAAAAATTGTGGAGTTAAATCATGTTCAAATTATTGGTGATGTCATTCCTCTTTTACGTGTTTAATTTCAACATTATGTAATGCTAATTATTTTCATGTATTGGATGAAGATGAAACCCTTTATTATTTATTTTTAATTCAAGACACGTAGTTTAGTTAAATTTGTGATTAATTTTGCGTGCTTAATTTTATTATTTGATTGCTTGATTATCAATTAAATATATAATTGCTTGTTGTAGTGTTGGAAGGCACACAATAAGTGTAGAACACTGCTGGATTAACATGCGTGCAATACATTTTAGGAATAAGATTTATCACGTGTGCAATCTGTGAGATAATTTTGAAATTACATGCGTTCTATTCATTCGAATTCGGACTAGGAATAGATTTAGATCATGATTATGATAGATTTAATTTGTTTTAAAAAAATTAATTATAAAAGAATTATTGATTGTCAAGAATGCATGAATGAAACAAGCTATGTAGTCAAGAATTGGAATAAATAATAATAGATGGATTCGTAATCCAATACACTCTTTTCATATATACACATATTAAATTTACATTTTAATCGCTTTCGTAGATTAAGTTAGATTATTTAAAAACCTCAAATCAGTTTTGCTTGATCACTTTGAATCTAATTAAATATTAGTGCACTTAATTAAATTTTATTCCTTGTGGAATGATACTTTTAACTCATTGAATTTATTACTTATCAATAATCACGTACGCTTGTGGGTTTTGTACGAATAAGTTTTTGAATCATCATTGTCAACCAAATTGTCTAACTTGGCAACGACGTCAAAAACTTGTTTGTGTGAAACCCACAAGCATACGTAATCGTTGACAAGTAATAGATTTAGTGAATTAATAATATCATCCTACGAGGATAAAATTTAATTGAGTGCACTAATATTTAATTAGATTCGAAGTGATCAAACAAAATTGATTTGATGTTTTTATTAATCTAAGTTAATCTACGAAAGTGATTAGAATGCAAATTTAATACGTGTATATATGGAAAGAGTGTATTGGATTACGAATCCACCTATTATTATCTATTCCAATTCTTGATTATGCACTTAGTTTCGTTCATGAATTCTTGACAATTGATAATCTATTATAATTAATTTTTTTTAAAGAGAAATTAAATCTATTCTAGTCATGACCTGAATATATTCCTAATCCGAATTCGAACTAATAGAACACATTTAATTTTACAATTATCTTAAAAATTGCACACATGATAAACATTATGCCTTAAATTTATTGTACGCATGTTAATCAAACAGTGTTTTAGACCTATTATGAGCCTTCTAATACTACAACAAGAAACTATATATTTAATTGGTGATCAAAAAATCAAATAATAAAATTAAGCATGTAAAATTAATCAAAAATTGTAAAGATTTAACTAAACCATATTTCTCAAATTAAAAATAAATAATAAAGGGTTTCATCTTCATCCAATATATGAAAGAAATTAGCCTAGCGTGATGTGGGAAGTAAACTCATAAAAGTGGAAAGAGACCCATAATCAACGGAATGTGATTTATTTCCTGATTTCGAGTTGCGGCCGATTTCTCTTAATCCTGTCCGCGTCTGTGTATTTGTATTTCAACTCCAAGCACAGTGATTGACTCCCAAAAAGGATCTCCAATTAGCAGCCACCCAATTGTGTGTGTTTATATCTCCAAAAAAAACTCCAATTGTTCCTCTCTTTCCCAGCCCGTACGTGTGTGTGCTGTGTGGGTGTCTATATATATATATATATATATATATATATATATATAATCAGCCTCATGCAAAGCAGCAGCCCACCTTGCTTCTTTCCTACTGTAGCCGTCTATTCTCTCTCTCTCTCCCTTTGTATATTTCCCCTTTTTTATTGCTCCAACAGCCGCCTTTTTTATTATTATTATTATTATTATTCTTTAACTTGGACTATGGACTCCCAGGTTAATTACTTTGATTCCACATAAAAATAATGTATTATTTTCTTCAAGCCATCTTTTCTTTGCACTTTAGTCCTTCTTCCTCTCCAATTGCTTCAACCAGGTTCGTCACTAAAAACACAAAAAAAATTAACCTAAATTAAATAAAAATTAATAATTTGACAAAAAATTTAATAATATGACCTAAATAAGTGCACAAATTGCACTTATCATTGTGTGAGAAGATTTATTCATTAGTATGTGGGTTTGGTTTGGTTTCAAAAAGTAAAAAACAACATTGTATAAAAATTTTTGCAACTTTAAATATCTAATATAGCTCCTGTTTGGTACTTGATCTTTACCATTTCTTTCACTTCTCCTGCTTCCCTTCTAGCGCCCACCATGCATCGATCCTCCATTGCAGGCTATGGCTCTCTTCCCTCTTCCATTTTCTTATTCGAGAATATTCAACACTCCTGAGAGAGAAGGGTGGAGGGAGGGAGTGGTGAAGGAGATACGAGATTGCAGTGAAGAAGGAGACGAGAAGAGTATATCAGAATTTGTTCAGTTTTCTTTCTTGAAGTTTATCCTTTGATTTGACGAAAAATAATGGCCCTCCTCTATATGAATACAAACTAAAGCCCCGTTAAGGATCTTTTGAGACTCGACTCAATTGATAAATTGCTTTATGTTTACATAAAAAATAGAAAAAAAAAAAATGAATACTGAAAAAGAATTTCTGAATCCCAATACAACAATGCTTAATGCCTAACTAATTTCTATCGGGCATATATACACTCATAAGGCTTCTCTATCTGTTTCTCCATATCTGTCCCTCCAACTTATGTTTTAGGACAAAATCCACATGAAGACAGTTGACCAGACAGTGAGTGCAAGAGCTGCAACCAGGTACGTCCAAAGAAACAGCACTGAACACTCCTCTTGGGCTACATCAAATAGCTGTGTCATGGTACCTGCATAATCAGCTTATTAGAAAATAATTCATTTTTCAATTAAAATTTAAGATCTTTGAAGTGCAAGCATAAATGAAAGCCAGTCAGAAAATATGGTACCAATATTCATGGCAGGTGGCACTGTGAATTGAAGCATGAGCACAAAATGATAAAGAGGATCTGATGGGAGAAATCCTAAATGTGAAGCTGCTTTTACAACACCAATCCCTGCTATAGGAAGTAGAATGTATCTCACGCATATTACTGCAATTATGATCACTGGCTTCAATCTTGCCTTTCGAAACCCTGTTTATTCAGTTCATAACACTGTTAATAATCTAATCTGCTACCTCTTCAACAATTAATTATTCAAGATTTTGAAAATGTTGCTGTTTTTATACCTTGTGTTAGGTTCCCTCCCAGAATAAGAGTGATGCAAGGAATGGTTCCATCCCTGCAAAATAAATGATTCTGCCCTAAGTTGAAAGAAATTTGTTTTTAATCATGTACATTTTTGTACGCCAAGTTTGTATCAGAAACTAGATTTTACCTACCCAAGTAATTTAATTGAATCCTGAATTACTCTGAGTGGAGCATTGTCACCAATAATGAGGTTTCTGAGCCATGTAACTGCTCCAAATATAAATCCAAGAATCTGAAAGTCTTATAAAATTATAATTAATATAGTAATGAAGGAAAAGGTGAATAGTCAGGCTATTAGTATAAAGAACTCACAGCAGCAATGGTTGGAGGAGCCAATAGCTCTTCAAGAATCTTATGCAATAATCCCAACAATTGTTCCCAGATTTTTGCTTCTTTCTTAGCTTCAATCTACAGATCAATGATTTGGAGATTTCAGATAATGTTAGTTTACAATAAATTACGCTGCCTATTTTGAAGTCGATATGTCGATATACACCACAAAGGAGGGGGCTTACCGTTGGCGCTTTTGTAACATGTTCAATTGTTCCATCAAGAAGGTGACTCTTCTCATTTGCCTCCAAATCCTTGTTGGGTTCCTTTAAGGACTCCTCAACTGCTAGCGTTTCCTTATATTTTGCGGCCGAAGACCTGATTAAGTGGTAACTGTAAGTCCATATGTAGAACCCACCAAGCTGCAGTTGAATTAAAGTCATCAGTGATAAGTCCTTTGCATTTTAATCAAAGAAAAGACCGAAAGTGAAATGTGAATTCATGTGATTTCTATTAGGATAAAAACCTGGGATGTGACTTTATCAATGAAAGAATTTAAAGTTATATACAGAGGGAGCAAGATAGAACACTTACAGCCATAGAGAAAGAAACATATGAGAGTCCAACTGTGGAACAACTATCTCCAAACGGATTGCCGTCCTGCTTGCAGATTGCAGGGACAATTATCAACATAATGTTTCCCAAGTTTCCTATTAAGCGCATTAATACAAATTAGGTGCTGCCGATTAGAAACAAAGAAGAATTCGACTTCTGACTATGGCAACTATAGGCTTGAAGCTGCTGCATTTAATGAGTACCTGATGCACACATGCTAATAATGAGGCCTTCTAGATGTGGCTTTGGTTTTAATAATTTAGCTGCTAACCATCCAAGAATCCCTCCGATTAGAAACGTGATGCCGACGTTAACAACCATAAACCACCTGAAAAAATGTCAAGAGAAAGAGAAGTTGAACGCACTATGGATCTCTATAGTACAGACACTTCAATTGGGGTAGCGCGTCCGTATCAAATGCGTGTCAGATATCGACACTCCTCAAACATTTTATCATGATCATTTTTTCTTTTTTATTGGAAATATTATATATTTTTAACTCAAAATTATTAGTAAATAAAAAATAGGTATGCATATTTAGAAGATTTCAAGAAAAAAAATTAATAATAGATATAAAACTAAATTTACACTGTGTAAATGAAGAATTTAATCAATGTGTCGTGTCAGCACTTTTTTCAAAAATTGCTTGTCGACATATCCACAGGGGCCGATACAAGCGCAGGCTCGACCGGACTATAGCCCGTATCCACCCCTGCAAATGTCCACATTATTCTTTTTTTTTTTTCCTTTTTAATTAAGATAAATCCATGTATATTTGTATTGTAACTCATGTCCAAAATTATGGCTGGATCTGCCATTGCATATCCAACGCGTACTGTGTCAGACACACGGCGCATCATAAATGTGGATCGTATCAGAATGAGTATTAATGTTTGAGGAACTATACCATGAGATAATGTCTTGAAGGGTAACAGTCTGTGCAAGATTTGCAAACATGAGTGAAGGAGTGAAGACCATAAACACAATCTGCAATGCCATAATAATATTTCAGAACAAAATATATATGCTTTTGATTTATCCCGTTCCAGTTTTGTTAACTTACTTTGTTCAAAGATCTTCGAGCATCCACAGGCAGAAGGTTGAGATAATCAGTAGCCATAAAAGCTCCTAACGAACACATTAAGAGAACCTGTAATATTGGCATCGAAGCCACCTCAAATAGAGTCCAGAATCCCATTTTTCTTCCTTTTTCTGTTTTTTCACTATGTGCTATTGAAATGTGAAGTAGCCTTCTTTTCTTCCTCTTCTCAACTAATAGAATCAGTTCTCAGTTCCAAGAACCTGCTAATTTCCACAGCTGCTGCAGGCTAATGAAAGAAGGATGAAATAATTAATTCTTATATTAACATGTACACAGTTACATAGTTTTATTTATAAAAAGAGAAGTAATATTTTACTAAATATTCATAAGCAGCTACAATAAAATCTCAACTTCCTATTTAAACAAAAATCCCAAGTGAAACGAAATAAAGTCTAGAAAATCCATCTATTTTAATAAAATTCGCACTAGACATAAAATAATAAAAGATAATTAATTAATAATAAATAAAAATTAAACAGTTAAACCTGTTCATTTGCATCAGAATCTTAAAACTAAATATGATGGATCATTGGATTGTTACATTTCAGTATGAATGTGGATCTAGGAATATAAAAGGACGGCCATAGTGAAAAGTGAGGAATCATTCAACAAGAATTGCATCCAGTTCTTATGCAAAGCCTTCGATTGCGACATGAAATAATTAAATGTGGAATCTATAAAAATACATATAACCATTTGCTACTTGGGTGGGATACTTGATGTATATCATGTAAAGACAATGGCATTTACAGACTTAGTTTATATCAGGAATATGATAATGAACAAGATTTTATTTCTTTATCTTAATTTTTTAATGGGGTCTAGCACCATTATAAAAAAAAATCCAATTGACTTTGTATTAGATAAAAGATTTTTGGTTTCAAAATTACCAAAAGCATGTCAAGGTGAACATGACATGGAGCAGTAAACTTTGCTTTAAACAAGTATGAATCTTAGGATTTATAACTGCATAATAGCTAAGTCAGACACTTAAGGTGAATTAAATAAGGTCCGTTTGACAGTAATTTTTTTTATAAAGAATGAATTTTTGAATAATAATTTTTTGGAGAATATATCGCTAAAATGTAAGAAAAGATTTTGAATTTACGCGAAAAATATTTCATTATAAGAACATGCAGTTAAAAAATGAATATGAGGGGAAAAAAATTTAAAAAATGGTTACAGAACATAGGCTAAATCAATTAAGGAATGAGAATTCAACACGCCAAGACAAATAGCAGAAATCAAACCCATAATTAATTAAATATTCCCATAGGGACTAAACTCCTCATTGCCTATGAGGAACTGAAACCACAAGTAATAAATATTAATTAATTAATTAAGAAAAAGACAACAATGAAACAGTATATAATGATAATAATCTGGGAAAGCTAAAGTTGGCACTTTGCTGGCTATAGCGTCACTCATGCATATCCAACCAAACCATGCACTTATATCATGGAAATAACAACCAAAAAAATTATTTTTTATTTTTAAAAGAAAAAAAAAAAAAAAAAAAAAAAAAAAAAAATGAGGAATAAGCAACTAATTAGAATCGGGATTAATGAACAAATATTAAAAAAAATCATTAAAATATATAGAATTCGTTTTTTTTTTCCTTCGCAGAGATCATATAAATAACAGGAAGGGACCAAAAAAGAACGTAAATTCATGTAAAATTTGCTAAGCTAAAAGATGCAAACCGCGCAAAGAGCATACAGAGAAAGAAAGAAATAAAGAAACATGAATAAGGAAATGGTGGCGAGAAATGAGAAAAATGAACCTGAATCAAGATTGAGAAAACAAGAAAGAGTAGTTCAATCAACTCCGTCTTAATTTTTACATAAAATCTGTATGTATGTATGTATAGATAGGATTATAGGAATTGCAGTTTGAGATTATATATATTTATACGATGCTTTTCAATTTATAGGCATAAATAGGGAGATGTACGTGCTGAGTCAGCATACGAGTTCAATCAGGAAGAATTCAATTCTGATCTCACCTCCCCAGCAACGAGACAAATTTGGAAGAATTTCATGGCCGTGGGATTTTTGCATGTGGTCAAAAATTGTTGGCACGTCAACCCTCCATCTAAAATTCAAAATACTAACAATTAAACCTAGAAGGCCCTGTTTGGATATGAAAATATGGTTCATTCTAAGTTTAAATCGTCGAATTATAATTCTGCATATATCACCATCAAGTTTCTCATTTTCGTTGCATAATTTATTTCTCTTTCGTGCTGAGATGTTACGTAGTGAAATTTGGGTTTTCAATGTGCTACATCTTGCCCTATATGTCACGCTTAATTTTTGTAGACAATTTATTAGTACTCACCGAGCTAGAGATTTTGATTGCTCAGCATTTATGGATATTCTAGGGGCAAAAGATAAACTACGAAAATGGGTTTTCACTTTCATGCCAAATGTAAATTTATGTGTGAAAAAAAGAGAGGAGAATAATGCAATTCTTCATGTTTTACGAAATTTTTTGCAATGCTTTTGTCCAAATTCATTATAACCAATTAAGGATGTTAAGTAGGGTCAGCCGCTTGTCAACTCGTTCCACACACAAATTGATGAGCTAGGTTTCCCCCCTCCAGCCACTTGTCAGTTCACATTGATGAGATCGTCCAAGAGTTAGGAAGAAAAAAATAATAAATAATGTATGAGCCCACTTGTGACTAGCTAGCCGACTCGCATTTTCTTCAATCAAGTCGGTGTGTACTTGGCTCGCCCCAAAGCAAGCATATGTTGGCTCAACTGGTACGCCAAGCCCTGCTTAACATTCTTATAGCCCGCACGTACAAGAAAATACAGAATTGGGATAAATACTTTTTGTCAATATGTATCATAGCCACAAATTTTGAGGATATGTTATTCGAATAAGTTGGCAAGACAAAACAAAGAAAAATGGATGTAACTTTTTTTCAGTGTCTTCTTATTTTGTGAAACATCAACCAAACAGCACTTGAGATGTGTAGGTGTCCAACTTGAACAGGGCTACGTTTACTCAATTAATTATTAAGATTCCTAGGATTGATTAGTTGGATATAGCTGGTCATACATTGAATTCAATCACTCAAATCAAACTTTGCTATTATTTGGGATTGCTAAGTATAACAACAATTTTTTTATTGGCCGTGCCCGTAAGGTGTTCTGCGTTAACACCTCGACGTACAAATAACAAAATCGTTCTTATTTATTTATAGACTTTTCCCTTATTTCTCTTTGATATCTCACACAAATTCCAAACATAAAAAGTAAAAAAATAAAAAAAATAAAATAATAATAAATAAATAAGTAAGTAAGTAAATTTTATATTTTCTAAATTTTTTTATTTAATTGAAGAAATAAGTACATAACTAATAAAAATAAAGAAAATTGTATATATTTTGATCTTGGCATATATTTTTATTTAATTGACAAGGATCTCTCTTATTTGACGCGAGGACAAAATCAACGGTTCGAAAGAGTTGGATATTCTCAAGTAAACAAAATTATTGTTTCAGCCTTGTATTGGAGTGGTCGTCATTTAGTGGCAAAAAATGACACTTATCAACTTGATTATTTTTCTATGGTGTTAGCTAATGTCAATTTTGAGGTCTAATTAAAATCGAATTTTTTTTTTTTTTTTGCCCCCAAGAATTATTATAGTATATTTATTTAACTTTAATCAGAATATGAAAAGTATTAAAATTATATGCATTTCATTTTGTCCCCACTGTGACGCCAAAACTTGCCGACGAGAGAGATATGATGCAATTATGTATGTTTTTTGAAAAAATAAACACCAAGTTTTTGGCATATTATTAACTTTCTCTCCATACTTCAAGTTTATGCCACTTGGTAGAATGCTGGCTTTATGCATACCTTGTCATATTCAACCAAAGTTTGCTGTCCACTCTTCTTTTATATGCTCCTTATTTAAATTAAATTTAGTAAATAACTTAATAACAAACTTTAAAGAATTCGAGCAATGATAGAAATAAAATTTTGAGGGTTAAAACCAGTCATAAAAAGTTGTTTACTGTTGCACCAAAATTCGTACCTTCGTGATCTCGATGGAGATGGATAGCATAAGCAAGCACTTCCTTTACATGAGATTACCTGAAAATGATCGAAGTCGAGATTTCGAGGAGTGTCATGAATCCTTCCCAATACCTGCAAGAAGGTGACAATCTTGGATTAGTCCCTCCAATGCAAGAATTAGCTTAGCTGAGGAGAGAAGACAAGTATGCAGAAAGCTATAAAGTGCGAAATGAGAGTGTAATGAAATAATGAACAAAGGCACAATGAGAAGGACCAAAAAATGGATTTGATCCCCACTTTGACTGCAAGATATTTAGCAAATATAAAATAGTATGTTCTTGATTTTTAAAACTAGAAGGAAAGCCACTCCTTTTTTTGCTCATGAAATTTAGGTCTGTGGATTGGCTATATGTAATATTTTTTAGGAGAGTCAAAGGCCGAGGTCCGCTTCACTTCCCACAAAGATCTTGAAAGGATTTTTTAGGGTTTATTTGCACTATCGATCTCTAAAGCGTGAATCTTGACAGCGTCAACATCGAGTTTTGATATTTTTCAACACAGATAAATTAAATCTTAAAATCAAAACAAGTAACACTTGTCGATGCCAAAACTCAATAACTGTTGTACCAAATTCCAATGGATTGCCAAATACGATGTCTCATAAATAGGAATCGACGGTTGCAACCAGATTCTAAGAAGTGTTAATTTTTTTTGGGGGGTGGGGGGTGGGGGTGGGGGGAATTCTTTTGTTTTCCATTTTTATATATTAAAAAATAAAAATAGTGCTTAAATAGCGCAAAAACAATTGGATGTTTGAAATATAAGTTAAATCAAATTGCCAATATAAAGGGTGGTAAATCTCTAACTGTAACTTATAACTCCATACCTATTTTTGTCATCCCATTCAAGTCCTTAATTTTTTTCACAAGGCAATTGTATTACCACGACAAAATTTAGGTCCTGTTCGATAGTGATTTTGAGAATTGAATTTTTAATCGTTAGGAGAAAAGTGGAGGTCATGGTCATTTATGAGAAACCAAGTCAAAAATTATTCTGGAATAGTGAAATAACGGTCAAAAAATCAGTTTTTTGGGTACAAAAAAACGCTCCCTAATGGGCCTTTCCTTGTTACACTACAATTTCAATCAATTTGTTTATTAACTTGTGTAGAATTACTTCATTACCCACCATTTTATATAAATTCTTAGAATTTTTTTTTTCCGAATACACCACAATCTAAGTTGTTGGTTCTCCTTCAACTGACAACTCCTCTGCCTGCATCGTCATCGCGCCACCACCTCCTCCATCTTCTCCATTGACAATTTTATGAAGAAGAAGAAGAAAGATGAATCCCTTGCTAAAAATGGAATTACAAATGGTGAATTTGTAAAAAGAGAAAGCGATGTTTGAATAAACATTTTCTCTATGCATACACGTCAGTTGCCATTTTGTAAACTCTTCATCAGCTGTGTTGAAATCTCAGGGCTTTTAATTTCATGACTAATGTGTTAGGAGTATGACTCAAATAGAAGTCTTTTGAAGAGGCGTATTCGACTTGGATTAGGAGAGTATTAATCTAGAGCTTAAGGAAACTAAGTTAAATAAGGAAACAAAATCCTGTTGAAATTAGGTCTCCTAATTGTAATATATTTTCTTACCTTTTAGAACTCTTCTAGGGTTGGCCTATAAATACGAGGCTCTTCTGATCAGTTTGTAGAGAGTAACATAGAAGCAGAATTGCTAGTCTATCTTGTATTCTCCAAACTTGTTGAATTAATAAGTATCGTTCCTCTACGTTTACTCTTTGTGTTCTTTCTTTACAAATTCATTCTTGTGTTTTTCCTGGTGTGATCTAGTATATTTCAATATTGTCATTAAATCGCGCTCTTTATAATCTGATTTGGAATCAACGTGTGTATTAGAGCTTTCACGCCCCAACAAGTGGTATCAGAGCTTGGTTCCTTTCGTAGATTGGTTGAGATTCTTTCGAGATGGTTGGGTTGAAGTATGATATTCCTCAACTAGATCGTAATACAAGATTCTCATTGTGGCAAGTAAAGATGAGGGCTATTTTGGCGTAGTTGAATTTGGATGATGCATTGCTAGGTATTGAGAGGATGCCGACTGGTTAGACAACGGAAGGATCGAAAGGTTGTTTCATTGATTCATCTTCATTTATCCAACAATATTCTATAGGATGTCTTGAAGGAGAAGACAGTTGCTGCTTTGTGGTTAAGACTAGAGCAGTTATGTATGACTAAAAGTCTTACTAGTAAACTGACTATTAAGCAGAAGTTGTACTCTCATCGCATGCGCGGAAGGAGGATTGTTGGAAAATCACATTGTCGTGTTCAAGGAAATAGTTGTAGATCTGGAGACGTTGGATGTTAAGTACGATGAAAAGGATCTTGCCTTGATCTTGTTGTGTTCGCTGCCTGAGTCTTATGCTTCGTTTCGGGATACTATCTTGTATAGTCGAGATACTTTGACTATAGAAAATGTCTATGATACTTTGCACTCAAAGGAGAAAATGAAACATTTGGTTAGAGTTACATCAAGGGATGTGGAAGCTCTTATATCTCACGGTGGTCGATGAAGAGGAAGATCGAGAGTTAGATTTAGCAAGGTGACCTGTTATTACTGCAAAAGGAAGGGATATATTCGGAAGGATTGCGATATGTTGCAGGCTAAAGTTGATTTAGTTGTAAATCATGGGGTGCAACCTTTGAATTCAAACGAAATCAATGTAGTTGAGAATTGTTCAGATGGCGAAGAGGTGACGTTGACCGTGGTATCTGATGTGGAATCTAGGCCTGACAAGGAGTGGATTCTTGATTTAGCATGTTCACACCATATTTATTCCAATAGGAATTTATTGCA